TATCTATCTATAATACACTATTTGACAAATGGAATAAGCTTCCATGGAGGAAGTCGTAATTGGCTTCCATGGAGCCGGTGGTTTCTACCTCCTCTTCCATGGAAATTACTGTCTGTCACTTCCATGGAAGTCGATATTGACTTCCATGGAAGTTTGATGGCTCTCATGGAAGATGTTTCACGGCTTCCATGGAAAATGTTCGTCTGTTTCGGGTTCCAGCTTCAATGATGCTTCCATGGAAACGGTGAACAAATTCCATGGAGGTAAATCCACTTTCTCCATGGAAGTTGATAAGTATTCTTGGAAGCACCCGATATCAACCGCTCGTTGCTTCCGTGGAAGTCGCATTTCGGACTTCCGCGGAAGTGCAACGAGCTTCTATGGAAGTAGCACTGGAAGCTCGTCGCTCGATAAAGTCTCTGCTACTTTCATGGAATTACGAAAACTACCGTGAAAGCAACTTCCATGGAAGATGGAAGTAGATGGCAGAGGTCGAAACCGACTTACTCCGTGGAGGAACCGAAACCTCCATCAAGCAACTTCCGCGGAGGAAGCGTATGGCCGCGTGGTCATTCCAGCTTCCTACCCCTATTCCTAACCCAAAGCGACGTCCACGGAAGGGTCTGGGCACGAATGTTGTCATTCCAGCTTCCCTCCCCTTACCCTACCCCTAACACCCTACCCCAACAGCCCTAACCCCGAAGGGGACTGCCATGGAAGCTATCCCGAGGCTGAGCATTTCCTTCCATGGAAGCTGCCCTAAACCTGTTTTGAATAGCTTCCATGGAAGCCTAAGGTTCAACTTCCACGGAAGCTGTTATTCCGCTTGCTCCATGGGATTTCCATGGGACTTCCGTGGAAGCCGACTTCTGTGAAAGCGGCAAGTCCACGTTTCACATCTTTAGTTCCATCGAAGTGAATAATATCGCTTCCAAATACTTCCATGGAAGCGGTACACTTTCGTCAAGTAGCGTGGGAGATCGGTTTACCGCCCGCCCTACTTCTTACACACCCACCCGACGAACATCGGAGTAACGACATCGATGTACTACCTCCGGCGCCGCCAGCGACGGTAGCAGCGCCGATGCAGCGCTCCGGCGACGCCTGCCACCCGCAGGAACTTCCGCTCCGTCGCCCACCGCGTTTCTTTCTACTCAGCAACCGCGACTCCCCGCGCCTACTGCGGCTCCTCCCGGGCGTCCACGCCCGCGAGCGAGCGGACCGCCAGCCTTGGGCGTCCGGCGTCCTTTCTCGACAACGACGACACCGGAAAGAGCAACTGCAACGACGATAGTTATTCCGGCAGAGCCGATTCTTCCGGCGGCGGCGGCAGCGGCGGCGGGAGAAGGTTTTCCGTCAGCGGAAGGATGAGGAACAAGACGTGCAGCGGCTTTACCGAGAGCGGCTCCAACGGTGGCGAGAGGATGAGCGGGAGAAGTAGTCTCGGCCGTCGCGTGAGCGTCGGAATCCCGAAAAGCAGCAGGAGCAAGGCGGCCGAGCTGCAGCCGGGGGATCAGGGGAACCGTCGACGACCGTGACTGCGGGATCGGCGGTCAGGCTGTCTGCGGAGGCCTCCGCCATTCTGAATGCCTGGTCTCCGCCCGCGGCAGGGGGTGACTCGTCGGCGAGAACGGATCGGTGCACGGCAGCCCCGGGGGCGGCTGCAACGGCGTAGGGAGCGCCGCTGACGTGACCGTCTCACAACGCCGCGGTCCTCTAGCCTTGCGCAACGGCACCCGTGTCTACTGTCAGTGGAGCAAGGTGGCAAGGCAAGCCAAAGGCTCTGGTCGGCCCCTTGGCCTTGGATCGAGCTGTCAGCTCCCGTCGGATGGAGGTGAGATACGTAGCTGCGACAAGTTTGGGGACGCCGGGTGATGGTCCACGACGCGATTGTGGTACCAAGTCCGGTTTTAGCGGCGATCTCTGTGCATCGGCGCGGTGGCTTGAGCTGTAGAGAGTAAGTGGGGCCGGTTGGTGTGCTGCTTGCTGCTTTTTGCTGCTGCTGCTGCTGCTGCTGCTGCTGCTGCTGCTGCTGCTGCTGCACAGATGGTGGCAAAAATGCCTACACCGGTGAAAGACACCCCCCTACTTTACAAGGAGCCTGTTTATTCCGGCATGAGAAGTGATGCGGTAGACTCGTTGTACTTATCTTTTGCACTGCGGTCCCTTTTATCCAAACACAAAAGTTCTTTCTTGGCCATCCTGGTGGGAGGGTACACTGAAGCTCCCCTTTTGTAAGAATGGCGGTGCGGCTATAGCTTGCTGACGTCATGCTTTGCATTTTTGTCGTTGTGCTGTTCCGTGACAGCTCGCGCTACCGGAGAAGCCGGCCGTCGTTATCAAGGCCGCGGGGGCGCGCATGCTCAAGCGACTGGATTCACAGATCTAGTTTTGGGGGGACAGCGGTGATGAGAGCGACTCCACACAGGTGTCATGTGGCATAAAATACGGGAGGACTGAAACTAGGAGCTGTCGGTACTGCTGTGGGGTACTCTCGAGTGGTTTGACCGCGGTTGGCTCTCCACACCTCTTTGATTCCTCTGTTCCAATCGCTCCCGGCCGAGATCGTAGTCCTCCCTCAGGTAGGTCCAAATCGCACGTGGAAGGGTTGGTATCTCTTATTTTCAGGGACCTGGTCAAATATGAGAGTTCAAACCTTTTTGAAGCTTGGTGTGACATCAAACTGCGGGAATTTGGGGGGGCCGACACAATCCACAGATTTATCAGTACGAGAAACGAGAAAAATCATGCAGGTCGTGTGTGAGTCCATCCCGAATTCTTCGTGGTCCATCGACGTACGCAGGTTCTGGACAGCAAAGGGCTATTAGATAAAGGCTGACCATTTGACTACGTGCACAGTCATCGATGACTGTGCACGTAGTCAAATGGTCAGCCTTTATCTAATAAAAGATACACTCTCGGCTCGTAGCCAATCCCAGTGGATCTGATAGGGTGTAGTGATCTCCGGGGACGGACCCCTCGCCACAAGATGCTGCTATTAGCCGATAATGGTGCCTTGAAAGCGATCCACTGGGATTCGAACCCGTGCGTGAATCCTTTATTGGATAAAGGCTGACCATTTGACTACGTGCACAGTCATCCTGGGTACACAGTCATTAACAGAAGAAATTACGCTCATTTGATTGGTCACCGCCCAATTTCACCCCGGTGTGTCGCTTTTCGACCAGGGTATACCCTGCCGTGACCACTTTTCTCAAAAACTGAACCCTGTTTTCGAAAATGTACCCTGACCTGTCGGGAAATCAGACCCTTTCATCAATCATTTCCCCCGCAGGCAACTTCCCAACTCCTTTTCCCCTCCAACCATGGGATACCAAACGGCGAATCTTCCCGCCCAATAACAACCATGGCAAGGGGGCAGGAATCAGTTTCCGCCCCTGCGAAGCAACACCAACTATCAACTCTTCCGGTCTAAATCAACAATGGCCGCCGGGCAATACCCCAGCACAACTCTGTTCCGTTTGGAAACATGCACACACGGGTACGATACCCCGTGGACGACTGCTTGCTGCAGTGAATATGCGAGATGCACGGGTCACGCTATGAAAGCGAGACCGATCCTGCATGGTTGACATGCATATTATGCATATATTTGCCAATGTGTCGCGCTGCGCTGAGCGGGCGGAGGGGAGCGGCAGCACCAGCACACACAGACACGCCCTTGACATCAATCATGGAAGGAGGAGCGAGCGGCAGTGCAGGAGCGGCGTCCAACTCAATCACCCTCCCTGTCGCTTGCCCGTGCTCGCGGTGTTATTATTTATCGGCTCATCCGCTGAAGAAGCCTGACGTCTTCTACCTACATTGATTGATTGATCGGGTGGCTTGGTTGGCTAGTGAGAGCGACCGCTGCTGCTACAGCAGTAGTCAAGCAACAACCACATCGCAATTGAGACACAACAGACAACACACACACGCACACACGGCACAGGCAGGAGGGAGTGGCGGCGCCCAACGTTATCCGTGTAGTGTTGTGTGCGCATCCTCTTCTCCAAGAAGCACACACAGCCAACATCAGATCACTAGCTATATGGACTGTTGATGACCTTGTGAGACCATGTTCTACGCAAGCAATTGTTGTGCAGGCCCTTGTTTTCATGATGCAGTAGGTGTTAGGGTTGTTGTGTCCGCAAAACCCACGCACTCGGGGGCTCAAGCCTCACTCAACTCCACCACCATAACAATCCTGTATCATATCTATGTTATCATGTGTTGCATCGGTTGAACCCAACCTACTGTTCGAAGTTACTTCTTCCGACAGGTGGACGTACATGACATCGACTATATGTACACGTATCCACCGCTGTATGCACAGCAGACAGCCGTAACCCCTCCCCCCCCAGTGAATCATGTAGAAGCTGCGACACGAGGCCAGTAGGTGGTGCAACATTCTATGTGCACGCACGCACCGAAAGCCATCCAAATGTGCACAACGACCCATACAGAGTTAAATGCTGCAGATGCATGTTTGCTTGTCGAGGTAACACCAAACATACCTTTCTTTGGCGGTGTGGTACTGTAGTAGACTCTTCGCACGTAGTGTTGCCATCGTGCAGCAGTAAAACACAGTAAACGCATGGCGTTCAAAATGTTAAGGTTGTGGTCCAATTTATTTTTGCTGCGTACATCACCACTAATCGGTGCAGACGTGGACCGGCAACTATGTCTGGGGGAGCGTCCAACACTTGTGTTGTGTATTTCTACACGACGCACTTTCCCCTCCTCCCTCGTTGACAAGAACACGTTTGGGTAACGGGCGTTTACGGTGGATTGGTTATTCGGTTGCGAATCTGTCTGTTGGGGTGAAGGGCCACTTCCGCAAACGCTCTTCGTCGCGATTATCGTGAGAAGCCGTTTGCAGGTACGTGCGTGCGCATGGCTGACGATAAGGCTGACGATAACAGTCCTTCACAACAGCTTCCTCTTGGGGCTCGACGGTTCTACCCGTTTTTCAAGCCAAGTCGAAGTCATGTGCGTGCGTGGTTGTCGAATATCGCTGTTCATCTCTGTCTGTTGTGCATAGCATTTGGAAACTGGCACGCGAAATTAGGCGCTACAACACGCGCCCCGCCGTCGCGGGTGCTTTACGCAAATCTGCACACACATTCGACCTCTTGCGCCCTGCCATTCACGGACCACAGCGTCGTATTTGACTCCGACAACGTGCGACGAAGAAATTCAAAGGCCCAAGTTACCTAACCCTAAGACGAGTCAAACCACTTGAGCTACGAGTCGAACCACTTGAGCTACGAGTCGAACNAGAAGCGTCTTGCGAGCCGTAGCGCTGAAACGCGAGCCTCCCCCACAACCTCCCGGTAGGTCGCTCGCCCGCGGAACCTCCGACGTTGAGGTCTCCCACGTGGCTGCGAACACTGCCCATCCCATGTACCGGGACGGGCCGAGAGTTGCCGCCCCCGCCACGACCACCCCCTCCCCCGGCGGCAGGCCCGCCGCCACGACCACCTCCATCTTGGGCTACGTTGCCGCGTCCGCGCTGGCAGTTGTCGTTGCGACCAGGGAATCGGGAACGCTGCCGGGGGCCACGGTTCTTCTTCGGAGCACCAGCTTGCCGGGTCACCTGCCGCGGGGGCAGGAGGTCGCCCTTGGAAAGCTCTGACCATATCGGAAGTACGACGGGATAGTCGGGGTGGGTGTGGAGCACCCTGTAGGAAGCCAGGGTGTACCCGCTATCAATAAGCGCCCTCGTGCAGTCAAGCCTGTCGATTGCTGTCACGGCATCGGGAAGAGGCGGATTGGGCCAAGAGTCGTCAAAGAACGGTCAATTAATTGTACTCGAGCGTCGTATTTTTTGTGTTCTTTGGTTTGTCACCCTCCCTCATCCCGCAATTACCCGCGCCAAGTCCTCCCCGGTGCGAACGGAAGACCGAAACGATCCCACTNACCGAGATAGTCGGGGTGGGTGTGAAGCACCCTGTAGGAAGCCAGGGTGTACCCGCTATCAATAAGCGCCCTCGTGCAGTCAAGCCTGTCGATTGCTGTCACGGCATCGG